GCGCTGGCCGCCGCCGCCGCTTCCCAGCGTGAGCGAGGAGGCCGGCGAGGCGGCGCCGCTGCCGCCGCAGTGCCCGCCGCACCTGGACGCCGTGCCCAAGCGCGACATGGTGCAGCTCTACTGCGACACGCTGCTGCGCGGCTGCAAGGTAAGCGGCACAGCGGGCACAGGGCGAGCACCGCTACTGCCTGCAGGGAGCGGGGCGAGAGGCGAAACGTGAGCCGCGGGAACGGGRGAGCGCTCGGGCACCTGCCGCAGCCGCCCGCGGCGCTGCTGTCCAGGGGCTTCAGCATCAGCGCCTGCACAGGGACTGACAGGAAGGTACCTGCGGTTCTAAAGAGGCTGATGCTGCCGCCAGTAATGGGGTGGCCGACGGTTTGGTTTGGGTGACAGCTCTGCGTGTCAAGAAGGGCATGGCCGCTGATGCTGGAAGTACCATGTCACACACCTTCAGTCACTAATACGCCATTCATGGTATTTGGTTTTGTTATGTATTTTGGGTATTAAGGGAATCATAAGCTAGTTCTCTGTAAAATTTTGTATGATCAACAACAACAAGCAGATTTAATGTTCTTTGGTAGGTGAGACACGAGAACTATGTAATCAGTTCCGTGAGCATCACAATAAAAACAAAAAAAAGTGAAGTATACTGGTAGCAGGCTATTACTGTTTGCTTGAATTTCAAATCAAAACCCAGTTAATATAGAGCAAGAAAATATGTCACCTAAGAAGGAAAAGGGAAATGAACTAACACTTTTTTCAAAGACAAAGAAAATCTCGCTGTTTTGAACCTGTCAAGAAGATTTCCACTCTGTACAACATGGACAGATAGTGAGCAGCCAGTTTTTTTGTTGTGCCTGTCTCAGTTAGAAAATACTTTCAGGTTGTGCTACTGCATCATGTCAGAATCATTATTCCAAATAAATTATCATTTCTGTATTTGTACATCACAACTTTCAATGCTTTCTCACACTTCCGGGAGCTTGTGGAGTTTGAAATGCTCAGTAAATGGCATCTCTGAAAAAATAGTGGCACAAAATGGCACAAAAATACATAAGTATTTTTGGAGTGTCCAATTCTGGAGTAAGTCTGCAACTCATGTTGTATTAATGTGATATATGTCATCTGGACACAGATTTTTTTTTTTTAACCTTTTTCTATTAGCTTTTCATAGGTAATTTTAGAGGTAATGTAGATCTTTTGTCCTTAATTCTTAAAATAGGCAGAGGATGCTGGAGATGCAATGAGCAAATACCTTGTGGAAAAACTGAAGATGAAAGAAAACAACTGGCTTGGAATCTGGAAGGCTAATCCAGACCTATTCTTCGTTAATTCAGAAGATTTAATTATACCTTCTGTTGGAATACTTGTTGAGGTAACTTATCTGTCTCTTATCTTGCATCGAATGTATCAAATGCTCTGATGCGTTTGATGATTCATGCAAACTAATTTTAGAATCAGTAGGTTAAGGACGTATATTAAAAAGAATTTAATGTATTTAATGTAAAAGAATTATACCCAGGATCTCTTGAAGTAAATGAAATTATCTTTCTGTGAGATAGAATGAGCTATTACTAAGCACAGCATGTTGTGATTGAAGTAGATTTTTTTTTCTTTAGAAAGAAAACTAACCTTTTATGACTTCTAGTAAGTAAATACTTGCAGCTCAGGATCAAGTTCAAGGTATTCTCTTAGATAAGCTAAATTGATTGAAGTCTTTTTGTTAGACATATGTTGGCCTTGAATATTTTGTGATCTTACTGAACATTCTCCAAATATTTAACACTGTAAAAATGATGGACATGAGAATTAGATGTATTTTAAAAAAYAGGCTTTCCATTATGATATGCAGAAGTAATATAACTGTTTTCATACATCTTGTATCTTTGCAGCCACTATATGTTCAACTTTTTGCTCACTTACTTATCTACAGAGATAATATTAAGTTCTCCTTACAGATGGCTTTCCTCATAGTCAGCCATATAGCTCTGGCTGTACCACGCTTCTGACTACATTACTGAACTTTTCTGACCAGGATCATTTACTTGGAACATCTTTTGAAAAACAAAACAAACCTCAGTACATATTTAACTTTACTGTAACTCTTCCTGCTTAGGATTTTGTCTGAGAATTTCCATTCAAACTTTAGTGAAGAGCACCATGATAGAGACTGGACTTGGAAAGTATCATTATGAAAATWAAGCTTCGTCAAAAATGGAAGCAGCTAAGACAAATTATTTAGTGTAGAAAAGCTAAATAATCTATTTGCATTATTTTCATACCTTTGARTCACAAGAAGTGGGTAAAATAACCRTCCTTTAAAATTCTAGCTTTTGGGACAGATTAAATATGCTTTTATTGCCTGCTTGTAGACACTGGTTACTATAGCTACTTAATAGCCATTATTTTTAATGTACACTGTATGTAGCTTGCAAATGACTCACATTTTAATTCTTTCCCAGAAAAATACATAAGATGCTATTTGCACAAATACTGTTAGTTTAATTCTGCAGACCACTTACGTATGTGAAGCTATGAGGAATTGCATTAAAAAGAAACCAAACTTTTCAGTTGAATTGCAAGATCATACAAAAAGCTCTTATTTCTATCATGCTTTTTATGTGTATGATGATACCAATATAAAGAGATACTGACATGTGTAGCCTTTTCTTTAATTTAGGTTACCTGGAAATCACCTCAGAGTTCATCATCTCAGATCAAAGCCTCTGTATCTGTCGTTGAACCATTTGCTTCTAATGTTGCAAATATGCCAAGAGAATTGGTAGATAATGTTTTGGAGGAGTTGGACCATTGCGTCCCTTTGCTGGAGATCTACCCTGTAGAGGGACAGGACAACACAGTGATTGAAATTGCTCAGGCTTTGGATATTGTGAGGTATTTAGTATATTTTGCACTATTATACAATTCACAGATGGTAAAACATTAAGTAAGGAACTGTATATACAGCAGGAATATTGGAAAGATTAYTTTGTTTTATAATAGCGTAAGAGGAATCTGAGAAAAAAGCTGGATGTGAGGTGTGGAAAAATCTGAAAATATATTTTGAGAAAGTCCATGTCATGTGCTCAGGCAACTTATTTCATAGAATGCAGGATGGAGATGTGGACTCCTTAATGCTAGGACTCTGGTGTCTGTTTTCTGTCTGTCCTTTACAGTCGATGCAGCGTAACAAAGGCTGCTTTTTCTGTAGCACTTGCTCATTTTCCTCTCTCCCAGCCTAAGAGAGTGTAAGGCTCAGTCTTTCTCAGAGCAGCTCGATGTCAGTTGGCACCAGCAAGCTAACAAAAGTGCACTCCTCTTTCTAGCCTGCTCCGGAATAACTGGCCTCCCCAGACAGAAGTGTGATTTTTTTTTTTTTTTTTTTTTTTTTAATTTTTCCCCCCTCCACCCCCTTCTCCCCCTTTTTGTTCCCGTTGCCTTGCCCAAAGGATGAACTAAGTGGAATTCTGCTCCAGATGTATTGCAGAGTTTCTGGCTATTCATGCAAACAGCCTGCCAGCTCCACCAGCCAATCTAAATGTCTGTATTAGCACTAAGGAATTTTACTGCAGCTGTAAAAGGTCATACAATAAACACTGCTGCTACTGCTCATCTGGTTTCCCAACATCAGTTGTCCCCAATGATCCAAATAGTTTGGGTATGTCTATGTGTGTGGGTGGGTGTTTTAAGGCTTTCTCTTTTCAAGATTCAGGTTATAAACTAGACAATTGCAAAAATTAGCTTATTAACTTGGAGTTGTTCTATCTCTTTTGAGACGTAGACCACAAGTGGTCTGAGATCTCTTGTTTGCTTTTATTTTTGTTTTTTAAAGGTAGAACCTTATTTATTCCTTTAAATCAGATGCATTGAATTTTTCTAAGGAGTTCTTTTGAAAACAATAGATATTAGAATTGTCTTCTTTCTTCCTTTTACATTTCTCCTACTATGAGAAGTCTTTTAGTTAAAGAAGGGGAAACCCCACCTTATAAAAATAATGAAAAAATGGCAGTTTCTCCATGGTCTGCTGCTTCTGATGTGTTTTAAGTTTCTAGATTCCTTTATGGAAATGCAGTATAAGCATCAAGTGCTTATGAAGAGAAAACTATCTTTGTGAGACTTCTGTAGGTAGAAACAGAATTTTGCGATTGCCCAGCAGATCTCATTTTCATGTCAGCTTTATTTTCATGTACTATATAATATGTGGACATGTAGAAGAAACCTATCGCTTCTGACACCCCCAAAGATGGGGTGACATTGGAAGGTAATAATACAGTGGAAATGTACTATGAACTACATGCCCATTTCCATGAAGAACAGTTTTGTTAGTACTTACTTTTACCCTTTTTGCCAGCTATATAACTTTAAAAACATGCTATGGAAATTTTCTCTCTCTAGGTACTTTAAACAGACAAAAACAGATGAGAGAAACAGGCAGAATCAAGYAGCTTTATCTTGCAGGAAACTAGATTGCACTGTTGTATATATTCAGGAAACTAGATTGCAGTATTGTATATAGTGRGTCCCATTTTTTGTGGCTTGAGAATATTTCAGTGGAAAGTTACAACTAGTTTGTCAGGRAAAAAAATCTACTGCTGCTGTATCCACTTAGGTATTTTCATGTGAATATAACCTACAGATTCTTCTATGATTTCATTTGGAGGGACTGGGATGCTGATGAAAGTTGTGAGACATATGCAGCTCTGGTAGAAGAAAGAATTAAACTGTAAGTATTGTATCAAAAGTTGCATCTTACCAAGAAATATATAGTACTCCTGGTTTACTTCTTGCTTTTTAAAGTTGGTGTGATATTCAGAATGGAACTATTCCTGCTCCACTGGGTCACCGTTTCAAAAAACATCTGGAGAAGTATAAAATTTTGCGTCTGGAATTGATTCAGTATCAAAGCAACATTGAAGAAGAACCCACAGAAGAAGAAGTTGTAGAGTGCTGGAAAAAGTACTATGAACTAGTAATGCTGTGTGGATTGCTGAAGATCTGGGAGGACCTGCGCCTCAGGTAACCTTTCCAAGTTATCAGTTACTTGAGAATTCCAAACAAAACCTATTCCAAGGAGTGTTTGTTGCTTGTATCTTCAGGAAGTGGGGGTTTTATTGTTTTGTTTTGTTTTTTTTAGCAAGTAGCAAAATGTAGAAGTCTAATATTTGTTGTTTTATATTTTTATGGTATTATTACAGAGAAGTCAAGTGTGATACTGCCCTTTCTTGTACAGCTATTGAATAGGTAAAATTTAAATCTCTTGTTGGAGTAAAGACAGGAGTATTCTGCCTCATTAGCGGTTTCAGAACTAAAATACCCTCTCAAGAGGGGAGATGTGTGTATTCATACTGCATAAGTGAGCAAAATTTAAATGAGGTTAATATTGTAGAGTTAACCATTTAGAAACTAGAAATATTAAAATTCTAGCGCTGCTGGCAGCACTACCACCATTCAAGCAGCTGCCATCTTGCACTGCAGTACTTGGCCAGACCTGATCACATGCGTTTTTTTTTAGCCTCCTCCTGAGGAAGCAACTCCCAGGCCTGTCTGTCACTTTTTTTTTTTTCTCTCTCTTCACGTACTACTGAAATTGATGGCAGCAGTGTCAGYGAGCAGGGTTGAGCTTCCCAGGTAAGGTTCTGGGAAGCTGAAGAGCAGAAACAGGCAGACAGCTGCACACCGTGAGCTTGCTGAGTTACAAGGTGTGAAATGTAATCCATCTCACCCTGCGCTTCCCAAACAGTGTTTCACTGGTCTGGTGTCCATTAAACGGTTATATTTTTTAATTGCACCCAGCTTTTTTAATGCAGAGACTGAGTGGCACTCGCTCTATGCACAGTTGAAGCATTAATAAATACTCATTTAATGCATTTTATTATAAATAAATGTTTAYACTCCATTACTAAGTATATTTAACATTTTGGCCTGATCTTTTAATAATGTTAGGATGAAGTTATGTAGGTTTATTATGAAAACTAATGACTGAATTATTCTAGTGCTTCCTTTTAAGGAGCAAAGTGCTATTATAACCATTTTAGAAGTGAGGACTAAGGTTAAMAATGTTGGGTGGAAAAAAAACAAAGAGAGTGCTTTGGATTGTGTACAGGAGAAGCCTGGGGATTGATGGTCATTTAGCAGTGTGTAACTACTTAGAAACTGTAGTTTCAGTGCCTGTATCTCCACAGGCTAATTTGCAGATACCTTAATCACAACACAGAATGTGAAGCGCATACAATTAGGATGTGAAACTGGCTTAAGTATTCTGTCTGGAATTACCTAAGTCAGGGAGAAAGGCTTTTTTTCTCAGGTAGCATGTAAACTCCCTAATTTTAACTTGAGGGATTATGGACCAGAAGCCCTCATGACCAGAAAAATAGCTTAAGAGGAGGGGTAGGACTGAAACATATTGAGCAAAAAAAAAAATCTCTTTAGTATCAGGCACAGTATAATAAAGAGTAAATATTTTTAGATAACTTGCTCTATTTTAATTTTTCATTTTACATGCATGGCCTTCGTTTGTCCTGAGACTTTTGAGCTACTGTCAGCACCTGGTCTTTCCAGATTTTCCAGATTCTTTTTCTCCCATTTCTTAAATTTATCTTCAAATAGTCTTCTGTTGTAATAGCAGAACTTTGAATATACCATACTCCCCTTCCACCCACTACAGAAGCTCATAGTTCAGACAGTGCCAGATTTCTGAGTCACTGGAAGATTCAAAAAATATATATAAATAGATAAAATTTATAGTACTGCCTGGGAAAATATGGCATCACTGGGAATTTCTCCAAAAAGTTTTCTGCTCTAAGAGTATCTTACAGGTCATGCTCATACAGTTCTCACATTGAGAGTATGGGTACTAAATCCTCAAATCCTTTCTCATCAAAGTCCCAAAATAGACCAGGCCTGCAAAGGATGAGAGGAAGAGTGGAGGATAAGTATATATATATTTAGAGAACACCTTCAGGAATGCCGCTTACTGGAAGCTTTGTCCACACAGTAAATGAAGCAGCATTCCTGTGTAAAATGCATATAATTAAAATTTTCATCAGTCCACCTCCCTGTTTGTCTGTGGTACTYTCTCCATTATAATCAATGCAGCAGTTGCCCATTTGACATTGGGCACACTTCTGTTCAATGTAATAAATTTAGCATAACTTTAAGTMATTTTTCACATGCATTGAAATGTTTTGCTTAAAAGTTAGCTCTAGTACATAGATTTCTTCTAATTTTCAGAGCCCATGGACCTTTGACCCCAAGGATACTAAGGCGCAGGAAAGGGTACAGAGATGATAGGAAAACTGTAACTCATACTGTAGCTAAAACTATGACAGCTGAAATGGTAAGGGAAACTTTTTCCTTATTCAAACTGTAGATGAGTCAGCTAAGCTCTGCTAAATAAAGCCAAGATCAGTTGGCACTTGAGACACGACACTGTTTTGTTTTGAATTTGCTCAAATCTAGGAAGCTGTGCTCTCTCTTTCCTGTACAGGTTAAGAACTTTTGTCTGGATGCTCCACTTCAGCATCATGAGAATCTAAATGCGGCATTAGAAAGCTGCTATAGTGGGGACACTGTCGTTATTTTTCCAGGAGAATATAAGGCTGTAAGCTTATCCATGTTAACTGAAGACATTACTATTAAAGGTTAGTACCGTGTTCTTAATTTTACCTCCATCTTTTATGAACTACAAATTCAAAGCAGTCCCAACCAGTGACACGCAACAAAAGGTCAGGGAAAAATATACTTACCAGAGCTTTTAACTAGATTAACTTGTTATTTTTACTGTACTTTTAATAATTAGGTTTAAAGTTTTAAATAACCATTTTAGAAACCAAGTGCCAAGTGTTATCCTTCATAGAATTGTTTTGATACTATTAACTCTTTTCCCTTTCCATCAGGAACTGGAAAGGCAGAAGAAACCAGGATTGTTTCAGAACCAACTCATGATAGCTTTGTGATATCCAAAGCTCAAGATATAAAATTAATGCACCTTACACTGGTGCAGCAGGGCACAGTTGATGGCATCGTGGTTGTTGAATCTGGCCACATGACRATAGCAAATTGCGTGTTGAAGTGTGAGGGAACGGGAGTCTGTGTGCTCACCGGGGCCTCTCTGACCGTGACAGACAGTGAGATTACTGGAGCTCAGGTACTTCTTTCTTGAAGTTCAAGTAATTAAGTTTGTTGTACAAGAAAGGTGAATGTTCCAACCAGGCAGGTTCTTGAAACAAAGGACAGATCAACTTACCGACAAAGTAAACTCATCTCAAGCAGAGATTTTGCTGTGAAAACGTACATGTCATTTCAAGTTAATTTTCAATTCTCTGTAGCAAGGATGTTTAAGCTCTTCATTAGCACATCAATCCCTGTTTAGACTGCTGTATTCATTTCTAACAGAGGAAGTGTTGCCAAAGATTACTGCTTTCCCACTTAACTTGCCCTGATGGACTGCATATTAAAAAGTAGACTGAATGCTGCTAAGCAGTATTTTCATACTTCACACTATCTGTGCAGTAGAGTGTAACATTAAAATCTTGCTGTAATTGTAGCTTTTAGATACTGAATAGTCAATGTTACTTTTCCTGTCACCTTTTGCCTCTGCAGCCTGCAATCTAAGCAGCTTGCAGAACTGTGCCCTTAAAAGTTTTACTGCCCTACATCAACTTACAATGTAAGAAYGTGACCTACAGAATTTCAGGACGTTACTACACTCAACTGTACTCTGCATAACAGATTATTTTTAAGCAGTCCTTAGAAGCAACATTAAATTGGGTTTAAATTTCTTTGTTTAATGAACAGGGTGCTGGTGTTGAGCTGTACCCAGGGAGCACAGCACTATTAGAAGGCAACAAAATTCATCACTGCAATAATACCAGAGCCAGTGAGACCTCACCTTGTAGCCTGGGTGGCATTAATATTAAGGTAACCACTTTTGGTCTTTTTGTGTAAGAATAGATGATAGCTTTACAGTTATAATTTAGAATCATTTTTGTAAGCTCACCTGAGAAACATGGAGCTTACTCTAAAAAGGGTATTTCTTTACCTAGGACTTAACATTCAAGTGCCCCAGTAAAATAGTTGAGCCAAAGTCTCAGCACATTATACATACCCTGGAAAATCCCTGGGAAAAGCAGGGAAAAGCAAGTGACTTGCATGCCATCAGGAGAGGGGCTCTTCTGCTTGCCAGCACCAAAGGGCCAACCTAAGACGTGTTTTCCGGTCACTGAACATGCTGTATCTGCAGAGGTCTTCAAAATACACTAATATTTACTTTTTTTTTTTTTTTTTTTTTGCTGGGCAGTAAGAGCTCCTCCGTTGCTCTTGTATAATATAAGCTGTTGCTCCAGGGCTCTTGTTTAAGCTCTCTTTATGCTTACCTTACACTACTTCCTATTGAAATGCTGTCTTCTCGAAGTCTAGACAACAGCTAAAAGGTGAAAGTTTTAACAGATGTTAGATTGTATTTAAGAACTGTAGGGCTAATCCTGAAATTAAGTAAATTCTCTTTAAAACTACTGGACAGCACAGTTTTGCTCTGGGTTATAACTGGGCTAAGAAGTTTGAAGAGGCAAAGCAAATATTGTCTTTATATAATAAATAGAGATGGGAAGAGAATTTAGCTAATACTGTGATGTATATTTCAATGTTCAACCCTTTGGGTTCCCTGACAGGTTATTCCTTTCCCCAAACTGAAGATGAAAAATAATCACATTTTTAGCAACAGAGGCCATGGAGTCACCATTGTTCAGCCTGCTGAAATACCTGCATCAGCAGAAGGGGTCGGGGAACTTACTGCCTCAGGCGACGCGGACGAAACGCTCTCCAAGTTAATGCAGGATTTACGTTTGGAGAAGAACACGAATACACTTGATGACGTCAAAGATATCGCTGTAGTTCGTAGCTAGAYGTCCAAGAGTCAAGTGGCATTTAGCTTTAACAATTTCAATTAAAGAAACAGTGTTTCACATTTATTTAAGAACTCTTCATTAGAACTACACAAAATTCTGGACATGCTTAAACTTTACTCCAACCCCAAAGCTCTCTGCTCCTCCCGGCTAAGTGGCACAGTGATCACAGGAAGACTGGGGGCGGCAGTTTGTTTTTAACCTCCTCGGGCTGGGTAACAGAACAATTAAATGGTTCTGCTTTTGTACAGAGCAGTGGCCACAACCACCTTGCTGTGTTCTCCTTGGGACACCAGGCCTTGAACACCAGGYGCATGTGCAGACAGGAGGCAGCCAGGCCAGTTTGATGGTTTTTCCATATATTTCACATATATTAGGAAGAATGAAATATCCAGGTTCCTGTGTTAACTCACATCAGAAAGAGCTACCTCTTCAGCCCATGTACTGCCAAGCGCTGCACCGCAAGTGTGAGGCTGGGGCTGGCTGGGAAGGAACCACATGTTGCCTGCTACAAGCAGAAACCAGATGCTGCAAGGCCCAGCTTCTAGTGTAGTAGTGAACAATACCACCAGTCCCCTCCGCTTCACATTCTGTAATTTGAAATCTGTTTGGCAGAGAATGGCTTTAGATGATGAAGAGGTTTTCATCAGAAGGCTGCCTCCTGCCCACCACCAAACCTAATCGTACAACAGGTGTGTTTAAAATCTAAACCCAAGTACATATTATAACCCAAACACAACTACAGCATGAGAGTCTCAAAAAGCAAACACTTTATTAAGAACAAAATAACACAACTTGCGGTAAATTYTCTAACAAGGGGACAGTATCTTACAAAGCTGTGCTAGTTCTAGACAACTGAAACAGCAAACACTGCTAACAGCAGGAAAGGACATGAGACACAAGGGCAAGGAGGACCTGACTCAACTTCCCCCTACTACCACCCACCTCTCCCCCTTTCCCCATAGCCCCTTCTGTACCCGCTGCCCCCTCCCCAATAACCTCCGCCTCGATACCCCCATCCCACCGGGCTCCCTTGGAATCCTCTCCCGCCGGCACCCCCTCGGGAGGGGCTGCAGCCCCCGTAGCCCCCACCTCTGAAGCCGGCTCCGCGCGGGTAACCTCCCCAGCCACCATTGTAGCGGGCCATTTTGGGGGGACGAGGACCATCTCCAAACCTGGCAAAGAGGAGTAGCACACGTCTGACACAATTCAACTGTTGAAACATTTAAACAGTTTAAACATTCTTTACAAGTYCAGCAATATGGAATTTCCCAAAGTTGTGTTAACAGGTCCGTTTTCTGCTTATTCAATTAMACTTGAAGGGTGTCCATCCACGTGAGTAAGGAAAAGCCTGGAGCAGCCTCAAGTGCCATCAGTGAGGTACATACCTAAGCTACACTACTGGAATCCTTTTGCTAACAGCTTACACATRTTCATTTTTCTTTGTCTCAGAAATAATACGCCAAATTAAGCCTTAAAGCTTAGTTAAAACACTAAGTAAAGCTTAGTTAAGTGCAAGGGGAAAACAAAGCAGCCAAATGTTTACTTTCATTCCCAGGGACAGGGATGACTAGGCTTACCCAGAATAAATTTGGATCATCTTTTCTTTGAAAATCACTGTGTTTTGGAACAAGTGATGAAATGTGTCAGGAAGCGGCGCTGTCACCATGGAGYGCCTTTGTCTTTCCCACAGAAACAGCCAGTGATTTGTCTGTACCAGACTCCACGCAGGACAGTTTTAYGTACGCTCAGACCATAGACAGCCGGAGCAAAAGGCTACAGGTCCCATCCGCTGCAGACAGTTCTCCTGCACCCTGAGCTCAGGCTGTCTTGGCCCCACACAGCGTGGGCAGGGGCTGCAGACTCACAACTGCTCTGGCTCCGAGTGCTCCCCAGAGCCACAGCACGTGCCCTTCCCTAGGCCCCAGCCACACAAGCAAGCGGGGCTGAGCTAACCTGGTGCTGGCAGCCATGAGGTGGATGCCCGSGGCTGAGGGCCTGGAGATCTGGCGGATCATGTTCAACATGCGCTCRTTTCCTGGGTCCAGCTGCCGAATGATCTCGGGATCTTTAGTTACTTCCACCACAAGGGCTTCCATTGCAGCGCGCAGAGCAGTGATGCAGGCTGCTGGGGTATGGGGCATCTTCAGCTTGATCCTAGAGCAGAAACACAGTTTCATTAGATGTATTGCTGCTGTCAGAAGAGAAATTGTTTAGAAATAGTTTCTATCAATTAGTCTTTCATTGAGCACTGCATGCACTGAGCCAGAAATCTATATTCTCGTCTTTGAAACTCACATCTGCTGTGAGGAAAAGTAAATTTCAGGAGGGAGTTGGCCACATTTCTAAAATTTGACATTTTTAAAACATCTACTATCCTTCTGTTTAACTTTGCTCTTTAGATGTGGAACATTCAAGTAGTACCAAGACATAACCCCTGGCTTGAAAATGCAGGCTATTTTTGGAGCATTTGTACAAAAACATAAAGGAGACCAAAAAGCTTCAAGATTTTGAAGGCTATAGGGCAGTCTCACAAATACCACTTACTGAAAAGTGCATTACTGACTGGAAAAAGTATAATCCCCAAGATATTTTGTCAAGGTCATTTCTCTACTCAAGTCATGTTTCTAAGACTTAAAAACTTGCCTCTCTTAGCCTCCCCTCTGAAAGGAACATCCAAAATCTTATTCAGGTTGCAGTAAAAGAGAAAAAATTAATAGCTTTCACAGAAATTGCCCAGTGTCATGTTTTTAATTTAAGTAGATGACTTATACAAAACAGTACTGACAAAATAACCCCTCCTTCCTCATACAAAGGAAAGTATCTGTCCTGCCTGCCCAGCTTGCTCTAGGAACCGTGTTCTAGAGATACTCATCTGAATGTCCACTAGCACCACGGAAGGCCCTACCAGTCATCCACCAGAACGAGCTCCCCGTCAGACAGAGCTTTCTTGGAGGCGAACAGGAGCAGCTGCAACGGGCTCACCAGCGTCATGGCCTTGGCAGAAATGGCTCGAGTTCGGATCTGCACATGGAAGAGAAACAGGTTAGGAAATCCTAAGAGCACACGTGCAAACCACAGCCAGTGCTGGTTCAGCACTGGTTGGTAAAAATAAACAAATAAATAGAAAATAAAAATACAAATAAAAAATAAAAATGCAGACACCACATTTTTCCATGACTACATGACTGCACTTGTGCAATTTTATTTTGCAAGAGCCATCTCAAGCTATGATAATATAAAAAAGACCAACACATAGCTGAACTATCTCCCCAGTTTCTGCACTGCTGAGGCCGTGATGAAAGCTCGGGCTGCTTTTCTTCAGCAGGGTCCTACACATGCAAAATGTCTGAGTGGCTGCGCAGCTCTGCTCACACCTACGCTGTCGTTTCATAGAAACAAGACTACAAGCTTGTACTTGAAGTGAGCGCTTTGCAAACAACAAGGCATCTGACATGAACCAGAGATAACAGCCTGACTACACAGGCAACTGTCATTCATTTAAAAGAAGAGCACTACTTGGGATTTCAGCCTCCCACATCAAACACTGCATCTCTCCTCCTTTCAGACATTAGCACAATGGGCAGAATCTGTTTTACTTGCTTGTTCTTGGGAGAACAGTTACTCCCACCCTGGGAGCCACAAGATACATTCAAAGCAGACGTTTCCTAAATGGAAGTTTGGATGATCTCATATGTCAGCAAAAAAGATACAAAATACAGCATATAAAGGGAATTCTGAACTAATCTGTGTAGGGAGTGTGACCACAAGAAACATATCTACAGTGGCACTTCTGTTACAAGACCTTTGGACAGTGTCTTCACAGCAAGATACCTCATTAACTTGATGCCTATTTTGAAACCTTAACAGCCCTTTTTTGACAGAGACCCATCGGTAGCTCCTATACACAGCCAGCTCCAACAGTCACAAAGGGCACGTGAGGGCCTCTGGCATCGCTCTGCCGGGCGCACTGCACACAGACTGCATAACCAGTCTGCTCACAACCTGCAGGCTGCTCCCCAGCAACGTCCCACACAGCAGCACRGCCTCCGTTTACTCCTTGAGAAGGGGAGCAGGAGCAGTCACATTCACATGCTCCGGGGATGGCAACCAAAGAGCAAACAGGGGCTTAATTGTACATGTACAATATGTGCTGTGTGTGCAAAACCAATGGCAGGGAAGAAAAGGTCATAGGGACCCTGGGAAAAGTAATAGGTGGTTGCTCCAAAATATCCCCAGAACTCTTTCCTGAGAGGCTTGAAAAAGACAAACAGGAATTTCTCTGGTGGGATGATAGACTACTTAGATGCCAGAAAACCAACACCCTCAACCACAGCACATTTTCCCACTTTTCCTATGGATTCTTACATAGCAAAACGGTAAGGACAAACTCTCTAGCACCTAGTAATCCAGTAGAACTCCCACAGCAGTTGCTTAAGGAAGATGCTGGTAAGATGCTTTTCTCTTTGAGCTGCCTATTTTGACAAAACTCAGAAGAACTTTCTTTGCATCCAAGATTTTCACTTCTGTTAGATTTACACAGCTGAAAGTTATTGTAAGGCCCAAATGGCATAAGGTGCACTTTCTGAAGAACACAAGCTAAATATCCCCCAGTCTTTAAGAGGTTCTTTTTAGTAAGGAGGCCGTAAGTCTTTTTAGTAAAGAGACCATAAGAAACAAGCTACAACTTAGCAGCACATGAGCAAGAAAAATATTCAAGTACTTTACCTTTTCTCCAAAAACAAAAAAGGGTGATGGATACTTCACATCCTGGCTGCTGAAAGGGCAGTTGACAGATGACTTGTGGATAAGCGCGTTGCGCCCCTCAGTGGTGAGAATCTTCCTCTTCTCCTTGTGGTAGCAGACATTGGGGTAGACCCCAAAAGCGAGCAGGGAGATTACAACATCCAAATTATTATCTGGTCCAGTGTTGTTAAATGCATGAGTCACCAAACATTCTGTTGAAAGAGAGCAGAAGACTGGCTCATATCCACGGGTCATGCAGGGCACGCAGCACACACAGCTCGTTAGCATCCTGGACCCAATAATGTGCTGGTTCAGTCAAA